AACATACAGAAAGAGATAAAGGAGATGTTTTAAAGAGTGATCCCTTTTTTTAATTCATTTGTTTTTATGTATGTGGACATTGTGGGATGAACACCAGAGTTTTACTTATCCGTAAGACTGGGTAGCACATAAAACAGTTCAAGGAGAAAACTTTTTCTTGAACTTTGTTGCAGTTTATGTAAAAAACGAGTACAGAAATTCGACATAATCTGCTGGAAACTTTACCATTTTGCAGGACTAAATAGTATCTCAGTACTTTTTAAACACTGACCAAATTGCGTCCGTTGAACAAAGTATAAAACTACAAAATAATAAAAGTTGCATTCTTACATTTTTGATCAAATATCGCCTGAATTAAAATACATTTTGTAGCTTTTTCTTTGTTTTTTATTTAGGCACAAGTGCAAAAAGAAGGTTTTTAGTTTTTTAAAACACAACTAAAGTATATTTTAGAAATTCTTATGATGTCCAGGTCTATTTATGTTTGTGTATCAGTGATATTCACATTTTTTTTAACTCTAGAATAAACCACTAATCTTTACAGGGTTTTACTGCGGAAATTCAGACTTCCCAGAGAACATGAATGTAAGTTGTTTTAATAATGCTGCACTTATTACATCCTGTACCTTTCAATTCAGTTACGTTGTTAAAAAAATACTTGAAAAAAGAGTTTCCAGTTTAAGGTTTAGTTTTAATTTGATTTGTTTATGACACAGTTAAAAGTACAGTCCTTGAAAAAATGAAAGTTCATCAAAACCCTTATTACACCTCACATTTGGCCTGAGAGCAGTGATAAAACTGCTTCTAAACCGGTTTTATTTGGACACCACAATGCTGATTTAATGAACTAGAGTTAAACGGATTCTGTTTTACACTGTGTGCGTATTTCAGGTTTCAACACTAAAACCTTTCCTGTGTAGAGTTCGTGACCCACCGGTGCACGTGTGCTCCTGTTGACATGCAATGTTAAAAATAACTCTGCTCTAGATTCATTTCAGCATGGACTTGTGGAGAGACAGATCTTGGAGGTGCTCCACGGTTTGCACCACACCAAAGCCCACCGGACGGAAAATGATCCGTCTGCTGCTTCTCGGACCCCGAGCCAACCAGTCGTGGGCCAGGAGGCTGGAAGTGTCTGCCGGAAAGTGATCCAAGCCCAGGATGTGTGTCCTATCTGTCAAGAAGAGCTGCTGGAGAAAAAACTGCCTGTGTCTTACTGCAGGTGCGTAGGCGGCTGTGGTCGGGGCTTTACACTGTTATTGTGTCCGTATAGTCATGTTTTCAGGATGATGTAAGATGTTCTCGTCAACTTTTGTTGCACTCCTGGCCAGAACATGACCCTGTACAGCATTTCCAGCTGTTGACATACAGCTTGTGGAACCCACGAGCACACATCTGCGGATGTTGTAAAATTAGGTTCAAATCTCCTGATATTCCCGGAGGAGGACATTTCATTCAAACACAAAGAAATAATATTAAAAAAAAATTTATTTTTGCACTCTGCACCCTCCTTTTCTCTCCCAGGTTCGGCTGTGGCAATAACGTCCACATCTCTTGCATGAAAGTGTGGGCAGATCACCAGAGACTCTCAGACAGGGAGGAAACAGTGAAGTGCCCTCTGTGCAGGGAGGACTTCAGCTCTTTGAAGTTACTCCAGGAGCAGGTGAAAAATGCAGCAAAGCTCTTCACCGCCGCTGAAAGAGAGAAGGCAGACAGACACCTGGGAGTTTTCTGTCACAGCTGCCGGATCTCCCATGTCACTGGCAGATGTTTCAAGTAAGCAAGCAGCAATCATAACTAAGTTTGGGCTTAAAAATGTAGAAGAACCTAGGTATCATAAGCAGTTTGAGTCTTTGTGGCTTTGTAGCTTATATTAAGTAGCTGTATTTGACATTTGTCTTCTTCTTTAATCCCTGTTATCATCTTTTCAGATGCACAGTCTGCAGTTACTTCTATCTATGTGAGGACTGCTCAAAGAAGGGCTGCCACACACAACATCCACTCGCTACACGAACAGTAAGCTATTGAAATAATACTTGTACTGCATCAGTTATGCTCCCAACTCAGGCTTTAAATATGACCAACTACGAGTCTTGATTAAAATCGTCATATTTCGGTTGTTTTTAGTTTTAATGAACAAGCATTTTCCATCATCTTGGAGTATAACTGCCAAATAAAAACTCTGGTTCGACCTCAAACAGAAAAGGAGAGAGAAGTGGCACCTTGTGACAGAGAACCTGAGTGATGAACCAAAGGGAGCGACCTCTCAGCCAGCGAGTGACAGGTGAGTTATTTAATACATCCAGAAAATCTTCTTTGTTTTCCTTACAGTTTACACACTAACTCAAAAAGGTAGAACAAAAAAACCTCTGAGTAAGAATAACTGTCACTATTTACAGATAATAAGATTCTTTTGCTCACCATTTCGCATCTTCCTACTCAGCACCATACCTGTAGCTGCAGACCCTCTACCAGAAAATATATTGGCGTGTGTACCTGTGGTCAGGGTGAGACTGGGGTCTCGTCTCTTGGATGAGGGACAACAGTGTCGAATCTGTCTGCAGGATTTTGTCCTGGGCCAGCGTGTCCGAACTCTGCCCTGCCATCACAAGGTAAAACATTTCACTGTGTCCTTGCATATCACATCTTTAAGAAATCAGATTTATATTGTTACATTATGTCTCAACACTAACTCACAGGATAATAATTTATAACTGCACTTTATTCAAATCAACAACTCAAACTCAAAATATCTTTTATTATGAATCTGTGAAGTACATCAACTACTATATATCAGACTGACTGCTGAGCCTTTGTATTTTTATTGTAAAACTTTACAATTATAATGATTTCAACAAATGTAAAAAGAAAAACTTCACAGAACCCCCTCCTCTCTCGCCTCCCCTCCTCACATTTTCACTCACACTTCAGTTCCACACAGACTGTGTGGACGGGATCCTGCAGAAGTCCAACTCCTGCCCCTTGGATGGATATGTCATTTATAATCCCTTGACTAGAAGAACCAGTGAAAGGAAGACCTCCCCTAAGTCGGCTTCCTGCCTTCTCAGTGACTTTGCCAAACGACCAGAAATGAACTTTAAGGACCTGTTTATTCCAGGAGTGGCACTGCGGGACAGGAACACTAAAGTCACTCCCTCACACGGTTCTCTGAACTTAGAGGTGCTGACAGGCTCTTCAGTAACTTCAAACACCCAGCAAAAGTTAATAACTGGCAGGTTTCAAGGCTTGTGCATAGGTACAGCAGACACTGTGACGAAGGAAGGAAAAAGAGAGTTGCAGAGAAAACAAACTTCTCATATTCCTGAAGGCAGCTCCACATTTGATCACCGAAGTAAATCTGACTCCGGTGCACATTCCTCAAAAAATACAGCAAGAAAACACAGCCCTGCTTCACCTAACAGGTGTTCTGCAGTGGCAAAAATCAGAGAGCAACCTCAGCTGGAACTTTTCGTAGGTTTATTTAGACCAGAGCCCGAGCACACAGCTACATTGGCCTCTCCTGCCAGGCGGTCTCGACTGCAACCCAAAAGGACAAGCATGACAACCATTAAAGAAACAAACAGACTCACTTCAGAGCTAAGAATGACTGGAGTCTTAATAAACACACAGCATCAGAGGGAGACAGACACTTAAATGTACTACAGTTAGTTTTTAACCGCCTACCACCAGGTCGGATTCGGTCAGATTCCCCTTGAAATCAATAAAGACTGTGGAAACGCTACAGCTGTGTGAAATTATGCTTTTGTGTCATATGTCTAAAATCTAAGTTCTGTATTCATCCAATGCACACTTCCAAGTTGGTAAAAGAATGAGGCTTCTGAACAATAATTGGTATCAAGTAACTTTATTAATTTAGTGCACAAAAAGGCAAGACTAATAACACTACTATCATTACAGAGGTAAACACAAGAGGTGCCCATTTTGAAAGAAACAAAAGCCCGTGAAGTTCAATGGCTAGACACAAGAGGAGCACACTATAGAACATTAAAATCAATACAAATACATTCAGCAAAATCACTTTAAAAATGGAGTGGCAGTAGGTTTGATTTGCTTGTCAAGAATTATCAGCACAAAGTGTTCACAAACTACTCCTCGCGTTGTTGAGTAAGCTGGGATATACTGTATTTTCAAGCTGATGACTAGCAGGAGAAAGTATTTTTCATTTGTAAGCATACTGAATGATTAAGTGCTCAACTTGTTGCTACATTTAAAATTACAAAGCTCAGGCTTGTTAGACACTCCCTTGAAAAGACACTCGCCCTTTACGCTAACCTTAAAAAAAAAAGGAATATTGATAACGTCTCTCATATGACACTGGCTCAAAACCTTGTCATTCAATTCACTCAGTGGACACACCTCTCAGACCTTTGCTTTAAGATGGGAGAAAAACAGCACAAAATAAATTAAATCACAGCCACATAATACATAAAATGTTGCTTTACTATATACAGTACATACAAAAGAACACATGAAGGTAGCTGAATCGAGCCTTATACATACAAAATGAACTCATCTGTGAAAGATTTACAGTAGTACCATGACGGAAGACTAAATATAGCAAAAATGTGGCTGCAAGTTACTCTTTAAATTTTAATTCATGGTAAATATTGCTAGTAGAACCACTTTATGGTGTTCATGGTGAGTGTTTTGCCAAACTTTATCATGAATGACCAATGATGTCGGTATTCGTTATTGTAGTGTTGCCACTGTTGTATTTACACACTGAAAATTCAATAGGTTTGTGGGAAAGCTGTGCCAGTGTAACAAATGGGCTCATATTAAAGTGTGGTGTGCTTTATTTGACTCAAGACAAAAGCTGCCATGTCAGTTAGTCGAGGACAGATATGAAACGCAGGCATACATGTGTTGTTTTACATTTTACCTCAGTAAAATACTTCTGTATACATATTTGTTGGAAATTGCTTAAAACCAAACAAGACTAAGAGTTAACACCCATATTAGTGGCTCTGTGAGGTTGTACTTAACCACAGTAGTGCTAACATTTGTTAATTAGAAGTAAACAGCTGAGGCTGATGGGAATGTAGTTTTGTAAATAAATATTAGTTAGTATTGGACAAAATTAAATTTGACCTGACTGGCTTATTACAATTCAGAATGAGGAAATCCATCCAATAGTCTTTCACACAAAACCACAAATGTCAACCTCACGGTGGCGCTAGAGGAAGTTTAATCACCAGAGTCAGAGGGATTCATCGTCTGGGCACCCTGAATGTCTGGACAACATTTTATGGCAATCCATAAAATAGTTGTTGAGATATTTCAGTCTGGACCAGTGTAGTGGCGTGAACGACCAACTGCGGACTGATAGTGCCATCCCTAGAGCCACGACCACTCTGGGGACCATATGTTCATCACCATTATCTTCACACTTTCAACTGATCAGTTTAAAAACATCTTTCTTTCTTCAGTCATATCTCTAAATTTAAAAAAGGTCATGTTGATCAGGAAGTAAATATATTTTTGTCAAACGTATTAAGAGGTTTGGAACCACATGTTGTGAATGCAAAACTCCAAGGCACCGAATGCATGTATGGAAATAATTACAAGGGATAATACTAAATGTTATTAAAAAACGAAATATGCACATCTTTTGAGAGACTAAACAGAGGGCGTTGGCCTCCTTTACTTAACACTGTGAATTGCTAATATGAATTAATATATCAAATTGTGACATCAGCTGTGCAGTTTTAATAATTTTAACAGCACCCTTCCAAACAATCAGAAATTACTTCTTTCTCAGTGTGTTAACAGTAGCTGGTTGTACCATCAGTTGCTTCAGACATTGGATGTGGTTTGAAATGTATTTACGGGTAATCATAGTGTAGAAGTCTTTGGGTACTATTGTTACAATAGTTCCTTACAGTAGTTACAGTTGGCAGCACAATACTCCTTTCAGGACTAGACAATGAAATGAATCATTCAGTCCACAGGTAATCTGACAGCTACGATGACGTAATGTTAGCTCTACATTAAAACACAAAATATTTTCATACACACGAGAAAACATTCATTTTCATGCATTCTAAAGTAACCGTAGGCTTAAATCCTTGAATATGAGGTGTGACAACTTCAAAATGGCAGCTTTAGTTTTAAAATGTTCATCTGCATTTTACTCTGATATAATTGAGTATTTCATGTCGTGAGTTAAAAACTTTTAAGTCTTTTCATGAACCCCAGAGTTTCTTTTTAAGCAAAATGAGGCAATGTGATTGAAACAAGATGTCAGCACTGAAAACCGGGAAAGCTTCTATATCTTATTTAATTTACAGCAGGCATTTATGGTGAGGATAAGTGCACTACACATAGACCTGTATCTGTGTCCGTCCTGCAAACTCACCAGATTTTACTAAATATAGACAAATACCGTGCCTTTTGTAATCACATTTAATGACTACAGGCAGTAAGAAGGCACCCTCTATAATGCCAGTACTGGGGACAATGGGACATCGTGTTCACACGGACATTTTGCTGTGAAGAATCTCGCTGGTGATCTTCAGATTCGAGAAATTGATGAACAATGGTGCACAAACTCGTCTTAACAGCAGCTACATAATGCTTGAACATGACATAGATCCTGTTTTACTTCTTGAGCTAGCTTATGCATTCTTTGGCAAAGTTGTACAATTACATAAATCAACAACAACAATGCCTGTGTGAGCACAAGTGGTAAAAACTAATTTGGATTACTCAGCACTGATGTGACATCATGTGATGAAAATAGCTCAAAATCGGTGAAACGGTAAACGGTGGACATTTAAATTAAGCACTGATGGAAAAAATGCTTGTCTCGATGTTTGCCATGCTCTAACTTCGCTTGGTCAGAGGTCTCCCCTCACGGACATGCTTGGCACTCCTCTTTTCCGTCTTCCCCTTCTCCCTCACCTTCCTCAGGCGACGTGGAGGCGGCGTACCTCTCGATTCGCTGTCCTCCTGAGCGCTGGATGTATCCATCCCGTCTCGCTCTTCAGGAATGTTGGGAATAGCCCCGCTGCTCCCGTCTAAAATGTTCCTCAGGGTAGGGTCCTCCGGTGTACAGGTGGCTGTCGTGCCACTCTCACTGCTGCTCAGGTCCTGCTCTTCACTGTAACGCCCCCCTCGGCTGTGGTGCGACAGGGAAGATGCCCTGATCGAAGGCCTGTCACGCTCTGTCTCACGGATGTTCTGCAGAGGCTCGTTCATGTCCACCCCAGAGTCCAGGCTTGTGTCGTTGCTGCTCGGCGGGCGGTGGCGGCCCTGAAGCTCAATAATAGAGTGGCGAACCTGGGCGGCCGGCTTCCCGTCTAAGGACACAAACCAGGCCCTGGGGTGAGAAGACAAGGGCTTGCCCCGGGTCAGCTCCAGCAAGGTGCGCTCTGAAATCCCCTGCAGCTCGCTGGGTACGCCATGCCCACTGCTGAAGGCCTCCATACCAGCTGCCTCATTAAGAGTCCCAGGCACAGAGACGGAGGATTCGAGGAGGTTACTGTAGCGTCCCCACACGCCTGCGTTAGGGCCTTGGCCTTGGGGAGGAGTCTCCAGAGGCTGGGGCTCATCTTGGTTGCTCTGCTGCGGGCTGCTCCCACCTTGGGAGTGGTGGTGAGGGACTTTGGGTAGTGTCTGGGTGTAGCTGTCTTTATTTGCAGGCTCTGAGTGAGCATCATACTCAACTGCATTGCGGGGGAAAGTAGCCGACTTGCAGCCTGACAGTTGCTGCTCCTGAGCACTAAAAAGCTCCGGCGCCTGAATAATAGCCAGCGGCTGGTTGTAGATATGAACCAGCTTGTCTTGAAAGAAGTTGTCAGAGTTCATGTTGGCCCGGTTCTGCTCCGACTTGTCCCGAAGCCGAGCCACCTCTTCACTGTTGATGTAGTGAGATGACGGCTGTGGGCCTTTGATCCGATCCGCGGCGATGTTCTCATAAAAAGCAGCAGCCGGGCGACTCCCTGGATCCTCCACATAGATGTTGTAGTTGGCCTTGTGCCTCGGCGTGGACGAGGGTTCACACTGGACACTGCAGGAAGCGAGGCTGTTGTCACCAGAACGGAACAGTAAACCCTCTTCCATGTGGGTGGAGGTGGTCTGGTCTTTCTTCACCACTGTGAGTTTGGAAAAGCGTGCTCTCCTCCTCCTGGGCTCTCGATGAGAACTTCTGTATAAAGAATGAACAGAACTGAATAAGGATGGACTGCAGTTTCATAGTGTTGCTTTCCAAACATGTTAGGCCAATTAAGGGCAAGTTAAAGGGACACGTTGCCATTTTTTATTTTAAGATGCTATTTTTACCTACCAGAACCTTCTTTAAAAGGGTCTGTGGAATAAACTATTAACATGTATTTGATATAGTGTCATAGTCAGTTGAATTGTGTTTACCTTGTTTAAAGCCTGGCAACTTTACTTCATCTTGAAAATAAGTATATCTGTGACGCTCACTCACAAATAAATTCTAAACAATAACATTTCTGAGGATATTTCTCACCCGCACTGACACAGCAGCAAGGAAAGGAGTCCAATCACTAAAACCAGCATTCCTCCCAGTATTCCCATCAACAGGTAGCTGTGGTATGATAGGAAATCCAAAGAGCTTCCATGTCCCAGGTAATCTAAATGGTCAGATTTATAGATGGAGAGAAAACAGTTATCAATACAAAAGCCAGTAGACCGCTACACAACCTGTGTTTTCACAAGTTCATGAAGGCAGATGAGTTGTGTACCGTTTGGTGAGGGAAGAGGGGCAGCGATCCAGTGGCCCAGATGGGAAGCGGTGTAGGTCCAAACCAGCTCATCACCAACTGTTCTCACTATTCCCAGACCCTGATTCTCCCAGGCACCTTCAAACAGCGTACAGATTAGCTTTACCTGATGTCATTGTACAGTTTTAATTGCGTTTATGTGCTTTAAAGAGTAGGCTTGAGTCAGTTTTAAGATCCTAATTCAGAGAGAAAGTGAACTTGTATTTTATGTTCTTCCAAATGCTAGATCTCTCTATTTATTAATCTTTTCTTTTTCTTGTATTAAGCATGTGTCAGTCTTAAGTTGCAGTGTAATTCTTTATTCGTACCAGTCTTCAGATTAAAGGCCCAGGCAGGCACAGTATCAGCAGCCCTGAGGCGCGTGTGGTGTCCCAGGGGCAGGCTGATCTGAATGGGCCCTCGAACCTGGAGCTCCTCACCACCGGAGTACAGCAGGACATTGATGGCTGCCACCGCCTTCAGCTCGATGCTTCTGAACACTGCAGACACGAGGAGTAAATTCAAGTAAATTCAAGTAAATTCTTAAAACTTTTAGTTGTTTAAACATTGTCTTATAACCATGTTTTAAGGAATGATCATAAAACAAGCTGCAAGATCTGCTTGATTTAAAAATACTGATCCTTGTGTCCAACAAAATATCAACACGTTGGCTCACTTTTTCTTCCCATTTAGTGTATTTTGAGAATGATGTCCTGCCAAGACTACAATTTAATGACCAAACCTAAACAGTAAACCCTCACAGAGACTAAGAATCAACTGCTTTAAACATTAATGAGGCCTTACTGTGTTTAACGCTCACCTGATTTGCTGCTGATGATGCCTGGAGTGCAGTTGGCACAGTCTTTAGCTAGGTGGTGCTGTGGTACAGTCAGGTACGCTGTCAATGAGGAGATGTTACTCTTGTCAGACAACGGGAGGAGGTTCTTGGGGAACTTAACCTTGGGTTGGGAGGAGCTGTCTGTAAAAACAAGATGGCATATGATTGGATAAAATCTGGGCATATGAAGCAGCATGTTTATATACACAATGTAGCTTTGGGTGATAAAAAGACACATTTTTTGCAGCCTTGTCAATCCCTTTCTAATGTTCGACTTGAATCTGTGCAAATCAAAAACTACTCAAATAAACTGGTTAAAGTTGTCACATTTAGCTCAGTTAAATCCTAAAATGCAGCCTAAAAAGGAACTGATTTAGAGTAAAGTGTCTTTTCTTCTACAAATTAAAGTTCTTCTTTGCTCATTGAGATGAAGGTAAATTGACTCTGGCCTCTAAACTTACCAGGTAACTTCCCGGTGATGAGTACCGAGTCTTCAAACAGCCAGATGTTCCCCTGACTGTGAGGGAGCAGCAGCAACGTCACAGCAGAGAAAACTGCAAGAAGACAAATGAAAGGTCACACATAAAACACAAACACTGATATTTTTCAGCCTTTTCTCCATTATAGGTGGAAATGTGAGTGATCAAAAGGGGCAAAAGTGTGTTATAATCTCTCTATCCGCTTTATCTATAAATAATCATTCTTTAAAAGACAGTATTGAAAAATTATTTTAAATCGGTTTCAAATATTTACTGAGATTATAAGTGCAGAGAGAGGTCTAGTTTTCTTCTTCATTCTCCTTTGTTTTTTGGGAATACGAGCTGTTTATTGTAAACTTGTAGGCCTGTAATACCACCAGCAGATGGCATCACTATCTCAGAAGCCTCTGTTTAGGGTTCAGCTGTCTGGCTCGGAAGCACAAAAGGGAGGCGCCTCTGATGATGCAGAGCAAAGCAGGTCTCGACAGATGACACTTCTATCATCTGATTTTCGTCCCTCGTAACACCTACTCCATCTTTGCTTGGAAAGACCACCTCCCTGCCTCTGGTTCAGACCAGCAAGAGGGAAGTGGGAACACAGACAATAGAGTGAGACCCGAGGCCCCCCTTTTTACACCAGCGCGATATCGGTGTGGCTACAGAGCCCCCACCCCCCTCTGCATTTGATTCGGTGCAGGACAAAGACAGTTTGCTGAGGCAGGCATATGTTCCTGCCGAGCTCTTGCCTCTACATGCTGCCGTAGAGACAATCAATAAAATGACTACAGGACACGGCGTCGGGTTACACTTCACTGTACAATGGGAACATAAATTGCTTCATCATGAACAAACCTCAGTGACAAGTTGTATGTTGTTGCAGACACTTCATTAATCTGTAATGAACATGAATAATGCAGTTGTGTGAATACCGTGGTCGGCATTACTGAAAAAAAGTGCTTAAAATAGCTAATATTTTCCCCTTAGTTGCAATATTTTTCAACCTTAAACAGCCTTCCATTACATTATTTTCTTTGTTTTCATAACTAAAACATATCTCTATGAAGAACAATGCATGTTTTTCTGAGAGAGATCAGCCAAATGCCTTAATTGTGTTTGTTCCCCATGAGCCGATCGATCCCTGTTGGACAATCCTCTTTTAGCCTCCCTTCAAGGGGAGTTCAGGGTCAGCTGTGACCCTGGAGCTGCTGAGGTTAACCTCCAGCACGAGCGAATGTCAACAACAGAATATTTAGCCCATGAATATGATTAATATGAACGCTTGCGTGCAGCTTACTGTCACTTTGTGTTGTGCAGAGGTGAGAAAGGAGCCAAGGTTTGAACTTCTCTCTCTAGCTCTCATTTTTTTGGTGCATTTTTGGCATCTTTTGAAGTAATTAATGGACTAACAACAGGGCTGTTTGTCCTCCTGTCAGAGAAGCCATGCTTATGACTCAGAGGTAGTCGCCTGAGTAAACAATGATTGTGTGAATGTGTGGACATCACGCTCAGAGACATCTCACACCATTAGATGTCAGCCAGTCCAGTCCAGTCCCAGGTTTAAAATAGCTGTTGTGGGGTGTTACTCACTCGGTCTCTTGGTGGTGCTCCAGGGCAGCGGGCTGGGGACGTAGCCTTCCATGGTGCCCAGCAGAGTCAGACTGAGGACTGGACTGTACGCTACCCAGAGCAGAACGTCACCTCTCTCCCCTGTTTGGGCAGAGCTCCTCAGTGTGTGGTTTACGTAAACCTCCACTGAAGCACCCGGCAGCGGCTGACGGGTCACCATGTCCCTTACCAAGACCTTCAAGGCGAACAGGGACTCTGTGGAGAATAGTCATTTGATTTAAACTTTCAAATTGTCGCTTTGTGACTTTTAAAAGACTTGATTTGTTTATATGTATCCCCTTTTAATATCACCTTGAGATAAAAATGTAACCGAAGCCACAGGAGATCTAGTAAAAGAAATCCAAGTATTTATTTGCATGTCTCTGCATGTGTTCTATCTGTATGCAGACCAGCAGCCTCCACCACTTCCTCTCAGCAGTACTCAGTAACCTTTCCCTCGCCATGAAAAAGTGATGAGGCAGGCACAGCTGAATCAGTGGGAGAATGAAAAATACATCAAACCCAAGTGACAGAGAAGAAAAGCTACACTGCCCGGCCATGTTTCTTCCAGTCCGACACGGCCGCTTACGAATGCATTTTGCACTTATGTTGTACAACTCTAGTTTTCAGCCTTCTTCTGTCTTTTTAAAATCTTGATCAGAAAGCAGTCGCTAAAGTTTTTAAGTTCAAATTCACTAGGAACTAGTAAGAGTAGAAAAGAGTTTAAATGTAATCTTCCAGGACAACATGTATCTGTCTTTTTGCCCCGAATGGATGTATTGAGCTTAATAAGTGAACGTCGTGGCTGCTGGGGTTCCTAGAGAGCATTCAACTGTGTTTGTTTTTGTTTTTTTTAATTTGGCATTAACAGTAGGTAAACCCACCAAATGTAAACAGAGGCCATCGATGAGCACAGGCTCACCTGCTGTATCAGCAGAGCAGAGCAGGATTACCATTCCCCATTAATATCACCTGCTCAGGCCACAAAGATAAAAACCTTAATCCCTCAAACCTCCACATTACACATCTTAATCCTATTAGTCTGTTGGCCAGACTGCCTGTGAATTCTATCCAATAGCTTATCAATACAAATAGCCTATCATTCAGATACATAGCTTGGTGTTAAGGATAGTTAAGAGCTAAAAGAGATCATATATAATAACATATACTTGTAAAAGTTTTCTCCAATTAGCTGCCTATAGCTTACACAGCTTTTCCTTCATTGCATTCAGAATCAGATTTTTCCACTCACATAAATAGTTACATTAAAGTGAAAGTGTCAGACTGAATACAGTTTCACCTTCTGTGCCATTTTTGTACATTTTAAAATCTATAAATAAACACACTTAAAGCTTCTGCCCTAGAAAAACCAAAGGAAACTGCAGCATCCTCCTAACCTAAACAGCAATGCAATGATGCAACGCTATCTAAAGAGATGTCAGCCTAACAAAAACAAACTGCCTAACATGATGCACAGCACCTGAATCACTTATGAGTCACACAGTTTGGTCTGTTGCAGCTCATTTCCATTTCCTCTAACAATGACTGACTCCAGCAGAGAGCCTGTTTCTGTTTACCTGCTGCGGAGGGGCTGAGGAGTCGCCCTGGGGCGGTCGGGTCGGTGGCAGACGGGTCTCCGACCGCAAAGGTGAGGCCATTGTCCCCGGGCGAGGAGGAGGGCAGGCCGCCGCCCTCCTCCGCTGCTCTCACCGGCCCATCCAGGCACGAAATCAAAAGCAGCGACTGCAGAAAGAGCAGCGGCAGCAGCGGCGGCAGGTAGCGTTCAGCAGCGGGCATGGCGAGAGGGGGAGCAGGCTCAAAGACATACCGGACCGCGAGAGACGAGCTCGGGAGGAGGAGAACGAGGTCCAGCAGGGTTTGTCCTTATCAGCAAGGCCTCGTCCCTCTCACGGTTTCTTGTAACGTTGATGCGCACATACGGGGGAAAAACCCCGCGGAGAAAGGATGAGCTGGTGCTGAGGCTGGGCGTGTGTGGCCGAAGATCGTTTATGGTGGAGAAGATGTGTCACTCAGTGGAACAAAAACAAAAAAACAACGCTGGTTTATCATTATGATTTTGCCCTTACATGTTAATGACACAGCTTGCGTGTTGTTGGTACTAAAATACATGCAAATACTTACAAAAGCGTAGTTGTTTAAGTCATTTATGAAGAAAAATGTCTAATACTAAAATGGGAATATGTGCTGCTCTGTAATGTTTCTGAGATTACTATTTAAATTACTATTTTCTAACATTTTATAGACAACATAAGGAATGGAAACTATTGTTTGATAATAATCGAGACGCTGTACCACGAAAAAGCCCCAGAGTGAGAGGTCTTTCCGTGTTGGTCATCTTTGATAAGACGGGAGATGCTGTTACATCATCGGGGGTCTGCGTGGCCCTCTGTCGGTAAACTGAGATCCCTGGTTGTCTATATTTCTTTATATATCTCCACTGCTTTGAGGAAAATGTGGACACCCACCAATCAAATCACATAAACAAACCTGTTAGAATTTAGACGATTTATTAGGTCATAAACTAAACCTTTAATATATAGTAAAATAGTGTATAGTGGTTCTCTCCTCCCATGTCTTTCATTGCAATCAAGACAATTATTACCCCTTAAATAAACCAGCTTCACATCCTTCTGAACACCTACTTCATTAATATGGAAGATAAAAATAATTACTTATTAATTAATAAATACATAAAAAAATGCTAAAACACACACATGGATGAAACAATAAAACCATAATTGAGAAAATTACATTTTTCTGGTTTTTTTTGCAATTATATTTCTACATTTATTTGTTTAGATGTATCTAAATATTCAGGTATATAGATACTTAAATGAAATCCAAATGGGAGATCATGTTACTCTGTTACTCTGACATATCAACTTAAACGGAGTAGAAGGATTTATGATGTGTACAATTATTAAATATCACTTAACTCATTTGTGTGTTTTTCAGTACTCTAATGTGAGCTAATTCTCCCTGATCTTCCTCCAGAGTCAACCAGCAGAGCTCAGTGGTTCCCAGCAGCATCAAACACACCTGGACTCCATATTTATGGTCTGTACATGCACCGCAGCAGGTACAGCCAAATAAAGTGAATGAAAAAACTAGGGCTTAATGCAGTCATGCAAATGAACAACTAACCTTTCATCTTTTTCACATTCAATTTGACTTTTTCCTCATTTATTTAGTCAATAATCAAAACTTTCT